TGGTTACAGACTGGCCAATTTGGTACTGTCTTACCCCACCAAAAGATCTGCTTGGAGATTAGTATACGGCCAAAATGAAAGGACTTCCAAGAATTGTCCTCACTTATTTGCATATCAATCAATAGTTCGTACTTACAAACCTGCTTTTCTGACAACTCTCCAGTGTCACTGACGAAAGGTAGTGGATGCTACCTGAAACGTTTGACCGTTTCCAAAATCATATCCAGTTTCCTGTTATCATATCCTGTTTTTTGGCGAAGACTACAAGTTGATTTCTCTGTCCGCTGCAGTGGCGGTTGACAACATCATGGCGAAGAAGGGAAAGGAATACGAGGCGATGGTTAAAGGAGAAAAGGACGGAGTGGAAGAGAATAAGAGCCGCGGCCAGAAAACCAGGTTGTTCTTATTTTGTGAAATCGTGTGTATTTCATTCATTCATTCATTCATTCATTTATTCATTCATTCATTCATTCATTCATTCATTCATTCATTCATTCATTCATTCATTCATTCATTCATTCATTCATTCATTCATTCATTCATTCATTCATTCATTCCTCAATCCATTCATTCCTCAATCCATTCATTCATTTATTCATTATTCCCAGGTTCCCCACGGTCCTGTGCTCAGTCCTGCTGTTCCTGTTCGTGGCGTGTCTGTGCGCGACCATCGCCTGCGGGATCCACTTCGACCGGGTCTGGGTCGTCTTTCTCGTCGGCACGGTTAGTCCACGCCAGGTCCAAATGGGTTAGAGTTAGGGTTAGAACCAGGCACGGTTGATTGATATGCGCAAACTACTGATTGATATGCAAATAAAGTGAGTCACTGACGAAAGCTAGTGGATACTACCTGAAACGTCTGACCGTCTCCAAAATCATATCCAGTTGCTTGAGTAACTGCTTTTTGGCGTAGTCTATCTCTTTACTCATGAAAAGGACAACTGTTACAGGTGGTGGCATTTGTGCTGCTGGTGGGGACGGTCGTGTACGGTTTCAGGCGGCGGATCCTCGACTGTTGCGCCGCGAAGATCCCCCTTCTGCAGAAGTCCAACCCGATGTATTGGATGGTGGGCATCTACTTGGAGTGGGTGGACCCTCCCAACATGGCGGAAGCTCCTAAATCGGAAAAGCGCTATGAGGTAAGGATTTTTCAGCTTTATTTTATTTATTTGTTTTTACATATATTCACATATATATATATATATAAAAATGGCGAAGGGAAACAGGCAAGTGCCTTTACAAGCACCCTTACCACATAGCCCCCCTCCCCAACAT